TATATAAAAAGTTAGGTCAAGAACTAGTATAAGAATATTTTAAATTTTTCATCAATGATTAACCAATATCTTCTAGGTATTTCCTTTTTAAAAAAATTGGCAATTTTTGGAACAGAGCCCAGGAGCTCACACATGCTAGTTTATATTCCAGCTCACTAGGCATTTTTTTCTAATATTAAAAAAATGAAAAAAATACATATATATGGCATGTGTATGTAGATGACACTTGCTTTGTGTATAATGAAGCAGATACCATATGAAGATGTGAGAAAGGCATGTGTTTGTGTTATCCTATTCTAATGATTGATATTATTCTTATGAATTACCCACAATTTTTTTTCTTTCAGTAAAATGCTGCTTTTAACTTTCACATTCACCTTGTTAAAGGAAATGCCTTTCAAATACTGCTATGCACAAATGTAAGCCCTTCATTATTTCATACTTGTTACTACCTCTTGTCTTAAAACAACACTGTTCAAACAAAATCAAAAGACAACTATGAGACCCTTAATGAAACCAAATCTTTTGTTAGGTAACAGTAAAATATGAAGATAAATGAGATCCAGCACCTATTTATTGTCATGGAGCATATAATCTTGCTGACTAAACAAGACATAAATAGATGGAAAGCTGCTGCATAAAGTTATAAAACAAAACAAAATAGAAGTACAAAATTTACAGTCAAACAAGTAATTATGCACCATAAAATATTGGACTGGAGAGATTATTATGTACCCTTCACAGAGGCAGTGATATGAAGAAGGATAAATAGGATTTAAATAGGCCTAGAAGACTAACATGAACAAAAGCAATGAAGGGACACACAATGTATTAAAAGACACAGTTTGACTGGAGTGGAAGATATGAGTACAGAAAATGGTAGAAGACAAATTTAGGAGATAAATCTGGGCTAGTAGCAGTCTGAAATTTATTATTTAGCAAATAGTAAACAATTAGTTTATTGAACTGGGGTTGTGGCATGATCAAGGATGTTCACATAATATTAATGGGGCCAAATGGATGGCAGGAAACATAAGTAAAGAGAGATAATCAACATTGTAGGAGTAATTAGGTTTTGTACTTGAGTTGTTGGTACTGAAAATTCAAAGGATGAAAGTGGCACAGGATTTGGGAGGAAGATAGAAGAACAAAAAGTAATGCTGAGTTATCCAGATGTTCCTTTGGGAATCAGTTAATATAGAATGGTATTTAAAGTCATGAAAATGGGAGAAATTAACAAAAAATAGTAGAGGACCATGGGTTGAAGTGTGGGGAATCCTGATGTTTATACTTCTTACATTGCAGGAAAGAAATGAACCAGTAAATATGTTCTCTTTGTTCCTTTCCATGCACGTGTAAGTGTGAATACTAAAGTATACACACAGAAGATATACATAGATATACGTGTACCCTAAGAAAAGAGATGGACAACAAAAGCTCAGTTCTTTCCATTTGTCTCTTATCAGCTTAGTGACCATGGCGGACTGCTAATAATCTGAATAAATGTTATTGATGAACAGCCTGACATAGCAAAATGAGAACTAAAGTTAAACAGATCTAGGTTCTACTCCCAGCTCTATTCTTTGCCAGCTGTCTAATCTTGGACTTCTTTGAGCCTTTGATTCCTCATCTGGAGGATAAGGACCCTAAAATAAGGATTATTGCAAATATCAAGTGTAATAATGTATGTGAAATTATTTTATATATTGTCAAGTATTGAAAATATAGGCCTTTTTATTATAATGTGTTTAATTAATCATGTTGTCTATTTTATTCACCAGATCAATCTTCTCCTCTCGAGGATATTATCAGACACATGGAAATAAGTTGTCCTTCTTTTATTTTTTCTCAAGAACATTCTTAAAAGTTCCTTGAGAGCAGGAACCACAACATAGGCTTCTCTGTATTCTCATTAAACTTTACCATGTACACATTCTGAATATTAACAAGAACAAAGTACATATCTTGACTTGAAGCTAAATTTATTTTGAAAGCTCAAATGTAGCATTCAATATGCAGCATTAGTTAAAAGTGGCATGCAAGCCTACAGTGTCCAGCACTTCATAAAAGTAATTTACATACATCATGAGAATACTGTACCCAATATCCTCATGTACCTTTCTTAAGTGGAGTTTTCCTCATAATTCTGGGAATGGTAACAGGGTATAATGAATAACAAGGTTGGAATGCAGATATTCAGAGTTATTAGTAAAAATGATTGGAAGAATAAGTAGCAGCACAATGACAGAAGACCAGCTTTGGAACTGAAAAGCACTGAAATGGTTTACAGTGATTTTTACAGACTTTTTAGAAGGACCATAATTTTCTCAGAATACTAACATAATATAATTAAAAAATGCCATTAAGGCACAATTTAAAAGCCACACCTAAAACACAAGTGAGAATGCCTTTTAAAAGTTCAAATGCTCTAAAGGGGAAATACAGGTGTTGAGGAGAAATTTGAATTTTAAAAATCTATAAGAAACAACTGTCTAAATACTTGGCTCTGATGGCTTGAAGCCTCCATATACACTTTCTAAAAGTAACTATTTTAAAAACAAAATTTGAAAATACTTACTTCCACTTGGAATGAGATCCCTTTCTGGGATGAAGAGTTTGTATCCATAATGTTTTTCCAGGACATCTGGCAGTATTTCAAGAGCAAACTGCTCTTCTTCAGGATTGTCACAGTCTAAAGTATCTTGATCCACTTTGGTGTAAGACAGATAGGCATCATATTCCTTGTTGTCTTAGAGCAAAAAGAGAGTGGTAAGTATTAAAAGGTCGTTGTGGATTTTTTTTTAGGATTAAAGGAAAAATTTATTAAAGCATAAGTAATTGAATGTACTTTTTATTTAAAGCATAAGTAATTGAATGTACTTTTTTATTGTTAACACATATTAATTGTACAAGTTACTGGATTTCACTGTGATATTTCCATATGGTTCCATGTATGGGGCCTTGATTCTTCTACCATCTTTTAGAATCTATAACTACTAATAGGCTGAAATACGCACTATAATTAAGTCACATGACACATTATAGGAAATCAAGTCAATTTCAACATAAAGAAGTCATGTGAAATGAACTGAAACTTTTATTTGATGGGCTACTTTTATTTAGGACAGACTAAAGGAATTATTTGTGATGTTCAATGATGTGTGTACATGATTAGCTCAGTGTTTTTGAATGTAGGAATAAATAGACCAAAGTCATGGATTTGAACCCTTTATCTACCAGTTGGCTTGGCTGTGCTACTTGGTCACAGACTTTACCTTGTTTGTACAAATATGTGCAAGAGATCCAACAGGGGCTTGGCCATAGAGTGTGGAAGATTGAAATAATCCAGCTTCCCTCCTGGAGACACTACTCAAAGCACATGCCATACTTCCAGTTGGTTAGTGTCGTCATCTTCATATACAAAAAGCAGTTCATTACCAAATATTAGAGACAGCAGCTGGGTTTTAGACAAATACATTGCCTGTTACTCTTGTTTAGACCATGGCCAACTAATTTGACATAAGGTCCAAAAGAAGTCTTTGTTTCAAAATATACATCCTTCCAATATTGCCAAATTAGGTTTTTCCCTTCACATATTTAGTCAGGGAATTAACTGTGCTTTGAAAGTATATTTTTTCCTCTTTTGCTGTATTGGATCATAGCCAGTCTCTCTAAGGTAAAAATGTGTATGCATGCATTATTTCCTACAAAATGTTAATGAACACAGCTATTCAAAGTATTAGTCCCCATGGGTTTAGAAGGGCTACACTGAAAAAGTTATAGTGTTATTTTCAAAATTCCCTCAGTTATAGAAAAAGATTTTTAAAAGTTAATTTAGTGAGCATAGGCTCACGACAAACTGTAAATGAATGCTTATTAAGCCCAGTGACTTGCAAATAATCCTTTTGACAGACTGGTAAGAATTCCGAGATTGTTTCTAGAATATATCAACATTGTTCATTTAAACAGATCTGATTAGAATATAGCTAAAACATGACAAAAAGGTAATTTATAGAACAAAGCAGCCACTCACCCATGATATTAGTGATTTGGTTCTACCTGCTGAATGAGATATAAACTATAGACATACAAGATACAGATATTCTATTGTAGAAGGAGTTGGGACGCCCCCCTCACTATTTAGAGATACCTGAGGTAGGATTTATGGTGTTCTAATTCTAGTCAGATTCTAGTCTTCATCACCACAGCATGAAAAGAACTTTGGTTATCTCTGTCAAGATGGTATCTGAGACTGGGAGTAAAGTTTAATAGTCTTTAGCATGTCCCTTGCTTGCAAAAGGATTTCATAAACCTTGGCTAGATTACTTGATTGCCTAGAAGCAGATGTACATGAAAGACTGCCCTTGATAGTTGAGGAGATCATTTGGCTTAAAAATTGGGCACATTCCACGGTTGTGCATAAAACTCCACTTGGAAGTGAGAATGTTCATGAGCAATGTTAATGTAAGAACCTCCTGGTAATCCTAGCACCTCTGCCCCTGTTCCAATCAAGCACAGGATGCACCTGCAGGCCCTTGACTTTCTCCAACTATAATTACTCACCTGGGACCCAGAGCTGCCGATGATACACAGCTGGAAGAATAAAATAGGCCAAAGGACAAACAGCTCCATTCCTATGAGCAGAATATATTTCATTGTTCTTGGTGGATAATGTTACTGCCTCAAACTCCACGTCCAGCAAGATCCTTGTTTGCTGTGACTTTGATAGCCTTCCTATATGATAAACTTCCCTAAATTAAAGTGCATATTAATTCATTCAACAATGATTTGTTGAAGATGCACTATGAGCTAGCCACATGCAATGGCTACCTGACTCTATCACTCATCTCATCAGACCTTCTAGATTGTTATTCCAATGCTAGTCCTGACTATGGCTATAGCCCTCCAAATATGCCTAAATAAACTCAAAATTTCTGGTCCTATCCTTACTTACTCTGTCTGTATTCTGAATACTACAGTCCAGTGCTGCAAAGACTTTTTCCTAGAAAAGTATTTCTATATTTGTGTATCCAAAATTAATTATGACAAAGAACGTGGATCCCTTTGACATGTTAACACCCAAAACATCTGGATAATAAATTTTACTTAGCATTCTAGAAGCACATCACTCATTTGAGAACATTTGCTTCTCATTTCAGTCCTGTCCCTTTAAGATGAACTAAAGGTGAAGAGCTTATGGTGGTTGGCCAGAGCAGGAAGAGAGCTCTCAAAGCCACCATGTCAGATGTCCCAGAAACTCTAGGATGCCAAGTAGTGATCCAGGAATGACGCAGATGCCACAGCTTAAAAAATGCACTTCAGCTTTATGTAGACAGCCAAGAAAATCTCATGAATAGCCACAGCTGTTGCTCACAAAGAGGTGCAAGATGGGTAGAGCAAAAGCAACAACATGATGTGAATAAGGTTAACAGCAAGGCCTGAAAATTGTCTTAAAATTGAAAGGCAGTTCAGGGACACTGGTTTTCTAAGCAACACTAATGAGCCTTCTTATGTGCTAATTCATGCTGACTAAACTCATCTGAGGAACCAGAAAATAGAGCACAATGCAGAGATTGCAATAGAAGGAAGAGGACTGGCACAGTGGTCACCATAGGCATGCTGTTCTAGTGAAAAGAGTAGTTATGAAGGAGACAACCAAACTATTTATGGAAGAATGTTCTTGTTGTCACACCTTTCCTTCCTTGTTTTTAAGTCTAATTTTAATCTTGTTCATCACCAGGTAGTCATTTCTGTTTACAGCCCAGTTCTTCCGCATCTGTGCTGAATACTGTTCTAACCCTTAACTTCTAAACTGAAAAGACTGTGTAACTTTGGTGATTATTAGATACTTGGTTCCTACTATAGTACACATGTGTGTATGATGTTCTGATCATGAGGAAGAATATAAGAAAATGCAACATGCACAGCACTTGCCACACAGTAGACATTTATTAAATATTTAATGACCAAAAAATTGAAAGATCAAAGAAATAAAACAATCTGTTTTTGTGGGTTGAAATGAAGTGAATTCAATTAAAAATAATTAAGAAGTCAAAGTTTGTTGAATGGATTTTATTTTATAAAACAAAGTATATTTTTCCTAGAAAAGTATTTATTTATTTCATAAAACAGAGCATATTTATCATAACTTGCAGGAAATGCCACTATCAAAAGGTCAAAGAAAAAACATGAAGAAAAAATATGCAGGTAAAATTTATGAGATTCCAGATATTTAAATGAAGCAATGAAAATGTTGGTATCCTATCTGTCTGACATTTGGCATCATTCAACTGGATATTTGTAAAACGAGGTGAAAATTCATGTATTCATCCTTACGGCACATCTGCTGACTTTAAAGTATTCCATTTTGCTATCACAGAGATTTTGAATCCAAAATCACTGTAATAGCTAACTGGAATATTTTAAAAATATTTTAATTTTTTTCCTAATGAATACCCTTAAAATACCCTCCTACCATACTGCATTTCCCCCTATGCAATGGGTTTTGTATCAATATATACAATTTTCTAAATAAAATGATCTTTATTACTGCAGTCTTGAATCACATGGGCCAAATAATTGGTAATAAAGATGTAAAATGAAATATTTGATCCCTGATAATCCAATGATATTAGCACGGACTTAATATTAATTTGCATACTCCAAATAATCAGTTACTTTGGATTATTGGGTATGTGTGATGAAAATTATTGTAAATTAACCCAATAAATTGTATCATTTCTTACAGAGATGATAAAAGATGTTCATCTTTTACCTTCCCAAATGGATAGTTTAGCCACTTGTTCATCTGGGAACCAGTGACATTTTCCTTAGTAGCATATTTCATCTAGTTATTTTACATGAACAGGTAAGAAGTCAGATTTTTCAATATGAATTACTGTATAAAAGAGCAGAGGGTAATTGACCACATTTTCATGTGTACTGTATAACAATGGTTAAAACAAGTTCGAATTTCTCATTTTGAAGGTACGTCTGAATAAGAGTGTGTAATACTTTTATTTTTTTATTAATTTTTATTTTTTGCATTACAATTCTTATTACCCATATAGAGGAGTGTGTAGTACTTTTAAACAGGCTAGTATAATTATGTAAATACACAGCTTGGAAATAAATGAGCATGCATATTTACTCATCAAGGAGCATTTCTCTAATTTACTGTGAAAATATGAAAGTCAATTAAGACTCGCACATATAGCCATTTAATATTAACAATAAGACCCAAATCAAACATCTTCAAAATTTTGATGTTACACCTATCACTATAAAAATAAAACAAAATCATGAACTTCTCTTCTTTTCTGTAAGACCATTTTTGTTAAGACCATTAACCCAAAGAAGGGGGAAAAAAACACAAGCAAAATTTCTCTCTTGATTTCAGTATGACAAAAATTCAGTTTTAAACTGCCTTTTAATAATGATTTGCAAATTGTAATTTTTCAAAAAATGTGGGTCAGGAACAATGGTGCATGCCTGTAATCCTATAATCCCAATGACTCCAGAGGCTAAAACAGGAGGATCACAAGTTTGAGGCCAGCCTCAGCAATTTAAAGAGGCCATAAGTTACTTAGTGAGACCCTATAAAATAAAATTAAATTAATAGGGCTGGTGATGTGGGGATGTAGCTAAGTGGTAATGTTTCTGTAGGCTCAATCCCCAGTACCAAATAAATAAATAAATAAATAAATAAATAAATAAATAAATAAAATAAAAATGTAGGCTTACCTAAGGCATTTTTACACGTTTACAAGGCTCACAGTAGTCTGTAGGGGTGAAGGCTTTATAAGAAGCAATATGTCATGATTTCTTATTGGTGTTGATTGAAAACATGGTAATTTGTTCTCTTGAAAAAAACTGAAACATTGTTTGGTTGTCCAAAGACATAAGGCTCAGTACACTTCTTTGTTGATACATCATAAAAAAGATTTCCAAAAGTCATGAAAAGCAAATAGAAAAGTATAACACACAGTCTAAATTTTTATCCTTTGAGTCACCTTTGTGAATAGTGCTACAAGCATTCAAAATATGTACATTCATGTACTTTGAAGTGTAAAATGTATTTCTGTAGATTTTAATCTGTTTCTTGCATGTTTATTTTCTTTTAAAAAAATTTAAAATAATTTTATTTTATTAATTTTTATGAAGTGCTGAGGATCAAACCCAGTGCCTTACACATATGAGATGAGCACTGTAACACTGAGCCATGACCCCAGCTCCATGTTTGTTTTCTGGGTGGCAGCAATGGTTAAAAATGATCTGTACATACATGTGAATTTTCTAGACAAAAACATGGAATTGATTTTTTAAAATTTTTTGAGTTTTTAGGGATCAAAGCCAGGGCTTTGTACATACTAAGCATGCTCTACTACTGTGCTACATCCTCAGCTCTTTTTATTTTATTTTGAGACATGGTCATGTTAACTTGCCCATCCTAGCCTTGAACTTATGATCCTCTTGCCTTAGCCTCCCAGATAGCTGGGATTAAAACACAGAATTTATTCTTAATTTATTTCTTACTAAGGGAAAAGGCATTAACAGAAATAATTTTATTTCCTAACCAAATAATGCCTTCTTATTAAACTTTTCTGGAAATTATTTCAAACAAAGCACTGCAAAAATAAAATTATTTCAAAAAATACATATATCCTTTACCTAGATTCACCTATTAATATTTTCTCCTCTTTTCTCTTTCTTGACAGATAAATTGTTTTTCTAAATTATTTGAGGGTAAGTTGCATATATCATGGACTTTTACATCTAAATATTTCAGTTCATATTTCTAAAGAATAGGGATATTCTTGCCAGGTGCAGTAGCTCAGGCCTGTATCCCAATGACTAGGGAAACTGAGGCAAGAGGATTGCAAGTTCAAAGCCAGCGTCAGCAATTTACAGAGGCCCTAACCAATTTAGTGAGACCCTGTCTCAAAATAAACAATAAAAAGGGCTGGGGGGTGAAGTTAAGTGACCCTGGGTTCAACCTCTGGTGCGCCCTCCAAAAAAAAGAATAGGGATATTCATTTACATAATTATAAATAAATATTTTATTTGAACAACAGGAGACAACTTACCATCAGTAGTTTCATCACCTCCAAAACGCTGTCTATAGAAGAGCATCAGTTCAATGTTGTAGCATTTGTAGATGATCACCAGCAGTATAAAGAGGAGGAAGATTGCTCCCAAGCCCCCTGCAAGCTCAATTTTGTAGATTAAATCTGAAGCAAACAGAATCAACAGGAAAAGGTAATTAAACCAGCGATACTTGGGATTTTCCCAGATTTCTAGTTTGTGTGTAAAATTTATTACCCCTTTGTATTTTCTTTCAAAAATATTCTTGCTTAATGCTTTGCTCTTGATATATCTGTATGAGTCAAATCTTTGTAAAATTAATTATTTTCTAAAAATTTGATTTGTTTTTATTTTATTTATTTTTATTTTTAGTTATACATGGCAGTCAAGTATAATTTAACTCATTTATACAAACATGGAGTACATCTTATTCTAATTAGGATCTCAGTCTTGTGGTTGTACATGATGTGAGATTCACTGTGGTACATTCATATATTTACATAGGAATTTTAGGTCAGAACTATTCCCCTGTCTTTCCTATTTCTTTCTGATTTGCTATTAAAGGTCACAAGTCTATCTAAAATGAAATAGTCACTCCCAATTTATATTGTTTTCATACATATACTATTGCTTTAACTGTATTTCAGGGAACTGTTAAAGCTGTGTTGTTCTGGTTTCAGGGCCTATGTTTTCTTGTTTTTGCTAAATTATCTCATTGGCTTAGCAAGATTGCCATCTTGAACTTCTCAGGCCACAGGTCCTATTCTTCTGAAGGAGAACAACCTCATAAAATTACTTTCGGAATCAAATAAAATCTAATAAGGTTGAAATATTAATCTGTTTCACTTAACCCCAGTAGAGCATAATCTAATACAAGGTAAGCAGAGGAAATTAGCTTACCCATTTCCCCTACTTATTTGAATAAATGACCATAATATATATATATTTA